ATGCCATTTACCATTTTTACAAGGCCCTTCTTGGATTAATGCCCTCTTACATTTGTACCTTACTTGCGCAGAAAAGCATGGCTTCTTATGACAGATTAATTTGTCATTTTGTTTACACAAGTGTAAAAGAAAAAGAACTTTCATTTGGAACAGCTCTCTGGACAATTTCATCTTTTTTTTTAAAGGTGCAACCTTTAAAAATAGTAAAAAAATATATATATATAAAAAATTTTTCTTTTTTTTATGCCCTGAGATCCAATGATCAGCTGTTGCTCACTGTTACTTTTGCCCGCACAGAACTAGGGAAGAAAGCCTTTAGCTACGCAGCTTCTTGTGCGTGTTTTTTTTTTTTTTTTCCAAAAAAACTGGAAGTTGACTGAGTTTTTATCTTTAAATGCTTTTAAGTTGAACGTGAATGAATTTGAAGCAGCCTCAATGATCTGTAATTATGTTTTTTTTTAATGTACCTGTCATTTATTTCAATGTATCTTTGTTTATCATGTAACTTAGCTGCCTCTTGGCCAGGACTCCCTTGAAAAAGAGGTTTGTAATCTCAATGAGATTTCTCCCCTACCCCTGGTTAAATAAAGGTTAAATAAATAAAAAAAAAGGTCAAATTTGATTATAAATGTTACAAATCCATTATGAGATATTATTTTCAATTGCCTTTGATAACATTTGAGCATAAAGCTAATAATTGAGAAATTAAACTAACATATAATGTGAATCATGGTGTTTTAGTTTGGAGGTATAGCCCTCCTTCAGCAGAGGTCAATGGCTGACGTCATGTGGGCTCTAGCTTTTTAAATTCCCCATCTGTTTTTTTTTTTTTTTTTTGCGTGTTTGTTGTTTAATTACTGCTACATCTCTTAACTCCGAGATACATTTCTTATTTAACATAAAACGATTGAGCTGGGTGTAGGAGCGCTATTTTAAAGCAGCCGGAATTATTCCTCGTTGTCAAAACAACTTCTCTGGTCACGTGACAGCCTGACGCACCGTCCTCCGCTCTGCGCTGATGCAGGGGGGGTTTCCATCATGGCGTCGATGCAGGTAAGGATACTATTGAGAGCGAGCATATATTTGTAATTTACCGGCTCGCCCTTTTTGCTCTCTCTCGGCTGGTTACTGTCGGTATGTTTGCGTTTGTGTATTCGTCAAAAAGCGGCACTGACATAGAGGCGGAAGCCATGAAATGTGTCCTTAAACTACTGTGGTTCGGCCGCTGGTCTTTTTGCTAGCAACACTACTAGCTCACCACCACCATCATCATCATCATCATCCACGGCAAAAGCTGAGGAGAACTGTTGATGCTTCGCTGTAATTTTTGTTGTTTTTTTCCCCCTCATTAGTGACTACGGCTAATTATTACGAGAGATATAGTTAGGACATTTTGAGAGTTATTCTTTTAGTTTTGTTCAACCAGTTCCACAGCCTGCTAACGTCACGGTGCGCATTTGAAGGCAGTTTCAGGTAGAGATACAGGTGTTTCGCTTACATAAAATAAAAGGGGAAAAAATTTAAACAACCCCTAAAGAACATGTTGTCTACACAACGTCTGTAGTATGATTAAAATCTTTCAAACACGAATTTAAATGATCATTGAGGTGCATTATTATATTAATTCAAATAACATAGTATGAGGTTTTCTCTTTGTCTCCAAAAAAGAAAAATAAATCTGGGAAGGAAAACTCCACATGGGGTTAGCTTTTAGCGTTGATGTTATATGTATGTCAATTGATGGGTGTTGTTTCTATATATTTTAGTTGTATTTGATTTTGGTTTTACAGCCCTTTGAAATTGTGTTATCTTCAGTTTATGGGCCTTTGATTCAGGTGCCAGAGAAAATGCTGAATACATTTTTACTACCTCTTTGTTTATTAAAGAAAGACTGAATGTTATCTGGTTGTTAAACAGCTAGTAATAAAGGAATGCCAGCCCTCGCTCCTATTAAGCTTTCACCTGAAAACTGAAAATTATGACTGAGTTTAGAAACTTGATCACGATAGATATATATTTTTCGTAAATAATACTGTCCAGTGTAAAAACATTGTAACCTTCGTATTTAAAAAGAAAAGTTCTACACTGTGTGATTGTTATACTAAATCATGCCTGTTCCAGATTAAACAAGACAATGATTTCCATAGGTGAATGTGGCCATTTAAATCTAAGCTCAAGACTCTTTTTTTTTTTTTTTTTTCAGACAGGCTTTTAACACAAAAATGGGACAACCCTTTTTTTTTTTTAATGCTGCTTTTTTTGGTTTTTTTTTCTTT